ATTGGTAATAAATGCATTTCCAGTACCTACCTGAGTATTGGTGATAGCAAATTCACGGTACATGAAACCGTGGACTTCGTCATCGCCAATCAGAGCGATGGAAAGACTGTTGCACTCCTACACACAGGAATTCAAATTAATTTAAAATTATTTCGAATTAATGGTGTGTATATATCAGTTGATGAATGTGTTGAATGGTTCAGTGACACCAGTCCGATTAATGTTGCTTGACGGGGTGTACTAATTGAATTAATGTGTTAGATTTGTTATATTGTTGATTAATTAGATTAATGTGCTTGGTTGATATTATTGATTAATTTAGATTAATGTGATAACTAATATAATTCTTAATTAAATTAATGTTTTATCTCAATTATTTAAAATAATGTGGATAAATAAAATTAATGTCAGGATCGATTAATACCGTATGTGCCAATAGAATCACAGCATAGCACTTAGATAGCTTAACCAATAGAAACACAGCATACCAACGTATGTACACTACAGCCCCGCCACCAGCTAAACCCTAAATCCCCCAAACCCTAAAACCTATTCTCACCTGTCACCAACACACTACACTACATATGAAGCGCAATAAGCATACACACACTCAACAAAAACAACTGCCAGTAGCCAATGAAGGTGTGTGCTATAAATAAAACACAGCCTATATACAGCTACGACGATGATATAACATCAGGGGACTCAACATTAATTGAACTAGTGCACCACTAAATAGAAGGGATGACAATTAATTCCAAACGTGTAAGCACTATACATGCATTGTAGTAGGTATACGCGCACACTAAACATAACGAATTGTCCATAGCTAATGGAAGTGTGTAATATAAATAGAACGGCCTTTAGTCAGCTACTACGTTGACATAACATAAAGTGGCTCAGCATTAATTCAACTAATTCTGCACACTAAATAGAAGGGATTATGATTCATCCCAAATGTCTAAGACGTAACATTTCAGGCTTACCATTGGTTCGTCAAATTCTGTAGGCCAATACTCGACCGTTTTGCCGCGAGAAAGTTCCGAACTGTTTGTCAGGTTCACGATTTGTCGTGTATCTTCTTGATAGATCATGTGCCAGAAGTCTGTGTATAGCGGATTGATAGGTGTAAGGTATATGTGTATGTGTATGTTTATGCGTATGTGTATGTGTATGTGCATGCGTATGTGTATGTTTATGTATATATGTACATGTATATGTATCTGTATTTGTATGTGTACATATATGTAAATGTATATATGCATATATGTATATGTGTGTTCTTATACTATTTGTAATTGTAGTTGTAGTTAAAGCTGTATTTTATGTATATGTTTTAGGGGTTTAGATTTATATTTGTAACTGTAGTTATTTTTTAGGGTGTTGAGTATATATTTGTAACTGTAGTTATAGTTGTAGTGTGTGTGTATATGTTATAGGGGTTTGGGTATATATTTGTAATTGGAGTTGTAATTGTAGTTGATGTATAGCTACCAAGTGAGAGAACGTATTTTTTTTTGTACAATCACAGTCCGTTTATAGTAGTCATAATATCATAAGTCCATATATAGCAGTCAGGGTAACATAGTCCATATATAGTAGCCTGAATACCATAGCCCAAATATGGTAATCTAAACAACACAGTCCATATATGACAGTCCAAACAGCATATGACAATCACTCTTCTGTTGTAACCTCCGACAATCATACCAACACGCGACAATCCCACCGGGTTTTAGGGTTTCCTAAACCCTAAAAACCCCTGTCGTACGACAAATACGACACAAATACGACAGCCACGCTCTGAGGGGTTGTACCATATACGACATACCCCCCATGGTGTGCTTCAGAGGTGCCTGTGTAGAGATGTACTTGGGTTGTCCTACTTCGTTCTGCGGGGATATAGAAGCATGTACGGATGGATGTGAGTATAGTCAGAGGCATAAAGTACCTACCATTGCCATGTAGATACAGGCTTGCATGCATGTTCGCACATGACTGATATGAGGATGAACAGTCATTTGTTGTGTGTTATATATGTATATGGTTGTTTTTGTGTCGTTTTATATGTACATGTTACATGCTATATGTCTTATTTAGTTGTTATTACTAATGCATGCTTTCTGTTATATGCTATGCTGTATATTCTACGACATACGCTCTATGCTAATGTTAAATACGTTTTACACACAACTTGTATTTTAAATGCAAAATAGTGTGGCTCAGTCATATACTATCCAACGCGTGACACTTGAAAGTAAACGTAAAACGTCAATGTAACCTTGTAAACATATTCTCTCCTAAGACATTATATACACACGAATGACATGCCTGGCCAATACCCCGATTTGCGAATAATTATTTTAGTGCCTAGAGAATTAATTCAGAATTAGTGTGCATTTAATTCCAAGTATGACTGTTCGGGCGTACCTGCACATGGTCGGCGTTGATGTAGTCTCCCAGATCCTGTGCACGCCCCTTCAAGATGACACGGGTGCGGTCCTCTGCGCAAACCGAATTAATTTTAAAATAGAGGCCCCGTTAAGATTAGTTTGGATCACATACGCAATTAGTTCGGATTGTTTCCGATGAGTTAAATCCACGATACAATATACTTCAAGTTATCTCATGTGCGCATACCACACGAAGGAACACTAATCTGGTACTGATAGGTAGTAGGGCAGACACACAATACCAATTGACATCAGTTGAGTACTGATTATTCCCAGTGCAGGTTGGACTAAAAGTGTCCGTTCAGTGTGTAGTGACAGTGACAGCACATGAACTGTTTTTAGTCCACTCTACAGACCCCTCGGGTACGAAGTCGAACTAGTTTCAGGGTTTCTAAAACCCTAAAACCTAGCTAGTTTGGACGTTCGGGACAGAACCACAGCCAAACACCACCAGCAGTACTAGCACACCTTACTGGGCACAGTATTTCTGTAGCGCTTCTTGAACCTAATTTCAGACAGTTGTCGGATAATATCCGTGCTACCGTTAGCACCGTGTCGGTTTATATAT